TCTCAGCTGAATTTTACTCAGAATTCTTCCTTTTAACCAAAGGTATATCTCAATTTTAGTCTTTTTGCTTCAAAGCTCAAACAACTATTATTTTATACAGCCAACTGACCAGTGTTTCCAATCTTATTTAATTTGTTACCCAGTTTTAAGATAAGCAAAACTTGATTTGTAAATTGCAGCTATTTCTTCTTCTAAAAGTTCCAGGCATTCCTTAGTCTATATATTTGCTAATTTGAAGAATTATTATTTATAGAACTTACACTAAAATATTTATCTTGACACCATGAAACTTCTAAAATTTCATCTTTCAAAAGCACAGGAGAGCCCCTTTTAAATGTTTTTGTCTCCTCTGTTCCCAGTAGACAGATGGGGACAGGTGCAGCCCCTGCCCTCCCCTCCCTGCCAATTGGTTCTGGTCTCCATCACCACAAACCCAAGATCATCAGGGGAAGTTCTAACTGTTCTTTAGCAACAGGTAGTCAATCACTCATTTTACAGGAAGTCAGGAAGGATTGTAAAATACCTTTGGAGGTCTGCCAGTGGCATTGAAGCTACTTTCAGCCTGGAGAGTGGCCACAGTCTTTAACACTGATGATGTAAATATGGGGAATTCATCAAACTAATACTAAAGAGAGGTTTGACTGTCTTAAAAAATTAAGTGGTTGCACCAGAAATCCCAAAGTCCATATTTCAAGCAATGTGAAGTTTACAAAATGCTGTCTAGAATTTAAGAAACAGAGTTCTGGGGCTAACAAAATCCTCTGTCATGTCTAAAGATCAGTTTTTAAATGACAAAATGGTGCTATTTATTTATATTTTATTTTTTAGTTGTAGGTGGACACAATATCTTTATTTCATTTTTATGTGGTGCTAAGGATCAAACCTAGAGCCTCACGTGTGCTAGGCCAGCACTCTACCATTGAGCCACAACCCCAGACCTACATATTAAGAATTGTTCCCTATGACCAGAAAAATACAGATACAGACTCTTTACATTAAATTACATGCTATCTATCTAAGGAATTTAATTAATGATACAAAGGGTTCCAAAGAGAAAAGCTATGCAAACTCTTGGGATGTGGGGGCTCCCTGTGACTTACTGCTTCCTCTGCTTGCTTTTTGCCTGAGGTAAACACCCACATCCCTTGCAAATAACACACCACACCATGTTTTTTTTTTTTATATGAGCTTTCTTTGTGTGTGTGTCAATTACTCCCTTAATCCTTGAACTATCAAGCTCAAGGAACTAGTTACCAATTAAATCAACAAACTCCAAGGCTAATTAATTGGCATAAGAACAAATGGAGGAAGTTCTATCACTGCAAGAAAGATAGGTCGTGTCATTTTGTTCTATTCCAATGTTATTTTTTTTGTAAGTCCCAGTAAAGGTATTCAGAAAAAATAGTCATCAAGTGCAATCAATTGAGGAGAGAGGAAGGGAGTACCAAAAGTATTAGACTAACGAAAACTGCTAGGCACAGTGGTGCACACCTATAATCCCAGCAATTTGGGAGGCTTAGGCAGGAGAATCACAAGTTCAAGGCCAGCCTCAGCAACTTAGCAAGGAAGGTCCAAAGCAATTTGATGATACCCTAAGCAGTAACCATCTCAAAAAATAAAAATAAAAAGGGGGCTGGGGACTTAGCTCACTGGTAAAATGCCCCTGGGTTCAATCTTCAGAAAACAAAAAGAAAAAAAAAAGTACATTAATGAAACCTTAGCCAGAATTCTGTAGTATCTTCTTTGTAGTGGGAACAGTAAATAAAACTTGAGTAAATGACAGGCCACCCCTCTACAATGTCTTTTTTTATTCCCCATTTTTTAACTCTGCTGTGTTTTAAATGGATTCCAAACTAATTTCAATATTTTAAAACATGCCAATATTTATCTTAAGAATATAATGTTTAGGGATTTTTTTTTTGGATTTTGGATAGAATTGTTACAGTTTTGTCATTGTCAGTTAAGTTCTGTTCAAAGAAACACATTAAATCTATTAAAAAATGCAACTCTCAGTAACTACTCCCAGCAAACTTTGCTGAAATTCATCTTAATTCATTTAACAAAGGATATTAAATGTATTTTATATGTACATCACCTTTCATAATGTAGCAAAGGTGCTCTTTGTTCTTACTCTGGTGCTATCTTGTTGTTTTTTTTTTCTTTTAAAGTCCTATCCATTCCTTGACTTTTGCAGGTTAAACTGGCATATTGTAAAATTACCAAGTAATCATGTGACTCAGCCATTCCAGGTTATTCAAGCAAACAATTTTTCCACACAACACCCAAAAGTGCTGCTAGAATAGACACAAAATTTACTATATAATTCCACATCCTTTCACTTTATTCCCAAGCAGAAGACATCAAACATGAGAAACAGTGACCTGACTCATTTGATGTACTGAGGTTAGTACACCTTGTATCTAAATTGTCATATGCATGGACAATCACCATTGTCTCTGGAGATGCTACAGCATTTGAGGACAAATAAGAAAAAGAATATACTTGTGTGCGTGTGTGCGTGTGTGCATGTGTGTGTTATATTGTTTTCGTTTTCACCCTGACTCTTTGACTTGAATTTTCTGGATTTTTTAAAACTATGGTAGAAACAATACTCCAATGGAAAATCATTTCTCTTCGTAAAACTAACCATTCAACTTGTTTCTTTTGTTAAGCAGCCCCCTACGTTTTTTACATTCTGCCTTCTTCCCATCCGCATGGTCCAGGAAAGAGAACGTTTTCATTTCAGGGAACATTGGTTAGAATGCCACCCTTGCCTGAGCATCCACCAACATCCCGAGGTGGATTCCCTGGGCGTATAGCTAGCCGCCTGTAACTCCCATGGGATCTAAATACTGAGGGTTACACCCATCTCGATGATGAAGACGATGGTCCGGCGATCCCCCAAAAGGCGCAATGAAGATCAGGTCTCCATTGTCACGTTCCCACCCAGAGGCGAGGAGATCTCAAAAACATACACCTCCCCATCTACACCCCACCCCACCTGGAGAGGTCTGGTCATAGAGACCCACCGGCGCAAACGAGTAGGGCAAGCCCCCGGAGGCCCCAGCCCGGTGGCCACAGGGACCCAGCCCAAGCTCCTAGCCAAGGCTCGGCCCCGCCCTGCTCCGCCCCGCCCCGCCCCGCCCTGCCCTGCCCTGTCCCTAGCCTCGCCTCCAGTCTAGCCCCCGGCCCGCGACTAGTGGGTCAGCGCACGCGCGTTGGTGAGCCTGGCCACAGCTCCTAGTCGGCTCCCTGCGGACCTCCCAGGCGTCGCGCTGGGGCCAGGACACCACCGCGAGAGGGTGTGAGCTGGAGGGAGCGCGAGGATGTTCCAAGTCGGCGTAAAAGAGGCGAGAGTGGGTGCGCACCGGCGTACGGGACTGAGACCGCCCGGTGACCACCCAGTCTCCATTTTATTTCCTCAGAAATTGTCGGGCAGGCGGGGCACGGCCTCAGGGCGGGGTCTCTCCCGGCCGGGGGCTAGCGAAACCGTTAGGCTGGAACACCGGAGACGGTCCTGGCAGTTCAGGCCGCCACCCGCGCCGCAATAAAAGCCTCTCGCGGCTTCCCGCCCAGCCAGCCTAGCTCTGATTGGTCGCCATGGGAGGGACCCGAGTTGGCTGGAGGCGGCGGCCGCCGCTGCTCCGGTGCCGCCTGCGGCGGGGGACGCTGGGTGCTCCCCGGCCCGCCCCGCGCGCTTCTCCACCGGGGCTCTGCCCTCCAGGGCAGGTACAGCGGCACCTGGCAGCGGTGTTTGCGAAGCACTACCCCCGCCTCCCGGCTTTCCTCCGGCGCTTTCCAGCACACGTTCCTCACCGACTGTCCGCCCAACCCACCCAACCCTCTGCGGCCCCAGCTCCTTTTCTTGGTCCCCTCCCGTATGTCAGCGCCAAAGCGCAAATCCTTGGGTGGGGTGGGGGAGCAGCTGGACGGGGGGGTGGGTACGCACAGAAGAATTTTGCAAGGAGGCCGAGATGGAAATAGTCAAAATGAAATGCGCCTCCCTCCCGGCTGCTTAGGTTCTCTGGGCGGCGGCACAGCCCCTGCTACCCGCGGCAACGTCCCTACAGTCTTCCTCCCAGCTCCCTATTGTTCGCACTTTGCCAGGATCAGGAACCTCGCCCATAGAAAGGAGACTGGGGCGAGGTGTTTCGGGCGGCTACCTGCCATTCTTCTCTGGCACCGTGCAAAACTGGGTTCGCGGTGCGTGTAAAGGCACACGCGCGCACACACACATCAGGCAGTCCAGATCACGCCCTCCTCGCCCTCCGCCCCTCTGCACTTCCTCCTGTCAAAACGCGGCGCTCGACCCTCCCATCCCTCCGTGCTCCCGGCCGAGGGCAGGCTTTGCAACTAACCAGCAATTTGGCAAATGAAAAACTAACGTCATATGGACGGGGGTGCAACAACGGCCACACAGCCCTGCGATTCTGCCCATTTCGCCCCATTTTACAAACCGTTATTCGGCCCAGGGAGGTGGGGCGAAGACAGCGAGTCCCACTTTATTACACCCGGGGAAATAACGATTAGGGGTGACTGTCCCGGCCTTATTGTTCACTCTCCCTGGAGCCGGGGCTGACAAGCCCCTTCCTCGCGGAATGCGAGGCTGTACGGAGGCACCACCCGAACCGCGGCATCCCCCGCCCCGCTGCCCGCCTTCAGGGAAGGAGCGCTGCCCATCGCCAGCGCGGCCGCAGCGTCCCCGGGAGCCGACCAGCCCTCTCCTATCGCCGCCCGCACACAAAGTGGGAAGGACGGGCGCGCAGGAGGGGCACGGAGCGCTCGCGGCGCGGGGAAGCAGCCCCGGTCCAGCGCAACCCGGGAGGGCGCGGGGTTCGGCTGGGCAGCAAGGGCGACGCACTCCTTTCTCAGCCCAACGAAAATGACCCGTCTTAGCGTTCCACATAAAGCCACCCAAAATAACAGTGTTCCTCGTGGGAGGCGTAGGTGGAAGGGACAATTAGCAAATCAGATTGAGAATTAACAACAAAAAAATGTACCTGCAGTTCCCAGGAAAAACAAAGTCCAGATGAGATCCTTAGTTTGCAGCATTGTAATCTGCTGGCTGGGAGTGATGTTCTTGCCGCGATAAATTCTGTGGCCCCCCCTTGCAGCGAGTGTGGACGGCGGCAGAGCAACAGACCTAGGGGCAGACAATTGCCAGGCTGAGTATGATTATTTTTGCAGAATTGTTTCCTGCCAGCGGCTGCCGAGCTGCGTTCACGCGCTGATCGGAGAATGAGTGACAGTCCCAGCCTCAGCACACTCGCAACTCGGAGATCCTTGCGCTGGCCCGGGTTCGCTTTGATGGAACTGGGGATGGGAGCGGGGAGCGGGGGGCGGGGGGCGGGGGTGAGAACCTCACTGTGTCCTTCCACCACGCCGGCCACAAATAGTGCCGAACATCAAGGAGGTAAAAGAGACAGGGGAGGCAGATGCAGCCGCCTGCAAAACGCGGCCTGGAGCTACCGAGGGAGCCGGGCTCTTTCACATGCAGTCTCCCTGGCAGAACTGGGATTTCTTCTTTTCACACTTTCCCCTCAAGCTTTCACGGTCCCTCCTGCCACCATGTCTTTCTTAATCAAGATTTTGGATATTTTAATAACTAGTAAAAACAAAAACAAAATCTTGGATGATTTGGTTAGATTTTTCAAAGTTGTGGAATCCCTCCATTTAGATCCTAAGAGCCTTGCGACACAGGACTACTTTTTTTCCCCCAAGTGCAGAAAATTAGAAATTTGAAGAGGGATGGTGGTTACTCTTGCTGGATTTTTTTTTTTTGTATTGTTTGTTTGTTTTATCCTGGCTTTGAAGTTTGCTCTTCCACAGAGAGGCAACACAAGACCAGGCAGCAGCTCCCAGGGGAAGGAGGTGGAAAGCAACTTAAGTAGAAGAAAATGCAGATGTTTAAAAGAAATTTCTAGAAATAATCTGAAGAAAACCTTTTTCTTGTTTACCAATACTTAAATCTGTGGTCTTATTTTTAAAACAGACAAGACTTTTATGTAGGTATTATGACCTATACCTTTTATGTAGGTATTATAGGAGCAACCTTAAATAATATTTTCCTTCATCAGGACACAACATCGATTCTTAAGGATATTAATGTAGAATATTACTGAGATACAAACACAAAGACTTCAATTAATCCTTCAGCTGTGTTTTAAAAAGAAGGGGTGAAGGTGAAAAGAAACAGGTCTCAGCACCTGAGCAAGGCTTTCATGTAAGAGGAGGATGTCCAGAAGTGGGATTGCCCTGTAGCTCTGCCCAGTGAAACCCTCTGATCCAGGAAGATGTCATGGGCCAGCATCACCAAGCACTGCCATTTTGTTTAAAGAGCAGGCTCCCTATTGCTGTTGCACATTTTAGAAACCCATCTTCTGCTGGCTGAGCCGCCACCCTTCATCTCTGGAGAGGCCCAATCTCCTCCCCCTCTCCTCCTGTCCTCTACCAAGCAGGCCACATCAACACACTGTGATCTGGAGAGACTTTTAAAAAGTGCTTTCTCCCTTAAACCAATCCTTCCCATTTACTCTTGTAATATTCATCTTCCATCAATTATAAACAATTCAAAAATACAGAAAAGTAGAAAGAAGGCTCTGAAAATAATCTCAAGGCCCACAGATTTCAGAGATACCCACAAATTTTATAAATCTTCTATCCATCCATGTAATTTTTATAATGGGTATACTAGAGTTGCAATTTGGAGTCTGTGGAGTCTGCCTGTTTTCCTTAATGTTTCATTATAAGCATTTCCATGGAGTTATTAAAAAGATTTTCTAAATATTTTTAAAACTAATATTTCTTCCTAAGGGTGATTCTTCAGTTGTTCCCCCAACACTGGCTATTTATATTGTTCCCAGATTTTGATAATATAAATAATGCTTTTTTGAACACCTTTCAATAAATATTTGTTGAACAACCACTGTGGCTTGGTGTAGTGAACCATATATGCTATTGTTTGTATCTGGATTGTCCCCCAAAGGCACGTATGCTAAAGACTTGGTCCCTAGGGTGGCCATATTGGTAGATGGTGGAAACTTTAGGTTGTGGAGCCTACTAGAAGGGAGCCATTGGGTGTTCCCTTGGAGGAGAAATTGGAACTTGGTCCCTCTTCTCTCTCCTCTACTTCCCAGAGGTGAGGAGATAAGCTGTTTCCCCGCCATGCTCCCCACAACCACCATATACAACTTTGCCACAGGCCCAAAAGCAGCAGGGCCAAGCAACCATGCACTGAAAACTCTGAAGCTGTGCGCCAAAATAAAAATTTCCTTTTTATAAGTTTATGTCTAACGTGTTTGACACAGCAACAGAAATTTGACTCTCTCTCTTCATATGTGTGTGTGTCCGCGAGTGTGCTAATATGCAAAATTACCCCATGAAATTTTATAAATATATGTATATGACCAAATCAGACTTTTTCCTAAAGAAGAGGTTCTAATAGTAGAGAAAGATAAAGTGAATAGGCCAGAGCTTAAAGGAATAAGAAGGTTGGAGGACCCAGAACAATTTTTTTCTAATATTACCACCAATAGTGAGAGACACACTCTTTCCTGCAAACCTCCCTCCTTTTAGCCCTTGTCAGTAAAATTAAAAGATTCCTCGCTATTTTTCTTCCCAAATGTCCCTATTTTTAGCTTTTCAATGTAGACAAGTGTGGAAATCCTATCTCACTTCAGCATGACTGAGTTTTTTTTTCCCCTCTCTCTCTCCAGCCCCTCCCTGCCCCATGTAGCTGTTGATCTCTGTTGTAATGACTCATTCTAGAATTCTGCCCCAGTTACTCCAGTCCACACTGAGTATCTCTCCCATGTTCTTTTAACAGAGTGTCTCACTTGTCTCCAGTTCCTCAGCTCTGCACCGCATTGCATTTCAATTCTTCCCTGAACCTCAGTTTAAAATGGGACAAAACTGCTGCCCTCCCCAGACCTCTCTCCCCAGAGAGAGTCCCAAGCTGTCAGGCACACACACATCAATGAGCATCTACTGTGCAAAACATCCATGGGGTGGAAACAGGAAAAAGACACCCAGACTGTGTTAGAGAGGGAGGTTTGTTAGTAAATCAGAGTATGGTCTAAAAAGACAGCCACAGCAAGGAGGCCAGGGTGGTGTGGAACGTCCTAATTGAAGGCAGTGGGGCAGTGGGAAAGGAAGCAAAGAGGATCACAGACTTGAGAAACACTCCAAGAACAAAACAGAACTTTAGAACTTTCCATCGGAGTCTGAGGCAGAGGAAGAAATCCACGTTCCTTTTATGTACTTGACAAATATGTTTTGAGTATCAACTGAGTGTCTATAAACACGAGGGACAAAAGCAAGTCTTAACCTTCTTCACCTTCTATACTTATGGAGAAGACAGAAATCATTAGACATCTAGTATATAAATGGCAGTAAATACCAATAAGGAGGGGTAGGGGTAGGGACTTCCGGGGTGAGGAAGGATTATCATTTTGTACAGGGAAGCAATATGAGGATATTTGACAAAGATCTAGAAAAAATGATGACTCCAGAGTCTCCAATGTGGGCAGTTGAACAACGGCTGGTGATAGAAACAGGGAGTAGCTGGGAGAGGAGATTCAGACTAGGCAATGGGCAAAGGAACAGTTATGTCAGATGTAGAAACACCAAGTTTGAGGTGTCTGAGGGATATCCAAGTACAGATGTATAGAAGACAAAACATCAGAGTTTAAGATATGGGCAGAAGGAATTACCAAAGAGATAGTAGAAAAGCAATCAGAAAGAAAAGGAATTGAAACATCACGACAGTGACACAAAACCTAAAGGAGAAGAAAGTCTTGAAATGGTCCAGAAAGATGAAGGTTTAAAAGAGTTTCCTGGATATAATTGTTAGCAAGTCCTTAGTGGTCTCCAAGAGCATTCATGGAGTAGTGGGAAAGGGAGACGTCACTGAGCCAGGGATGTAGACCACTCTCCCTAGCAATGGATGATAAAGGAGTATGGATAATGGCAAAGAAGGAAGGGGACTTGAAAGGGGATTTTCTTCTCTTTCAGTATAATAACTTTGTTATCAGGCTATAAAATAAATTAAATATTGTTATCAACTCCTGGTCACTCTCCATTATCTTATGCACTAACTCGGCTTTGAAAAATGAACTTGGTCTAGAGTAAAGTGCCCCTATTTAAGGCTTCTCTCCTATTGCTTTTTTTAAGGGGGACCCCAGGTATGATCCCAGAACTCACAGCTAACCTAAGAATTCTATTTCACTATTGACATGGGCGAAATGCATTGTGGGAAGCAGAGCAGCTTAAGACCAATGCAGATGACTTGGGACTATAAGAAGCTGGAAAGTGTTGTGTCCAAAGCACTGAGCATGAGCCAGGAAAGCATCAGGCCCAGGAGGTATAATCAAACTCCAAACCTAAAGAGTAAAAGTCTCTAGGGAGTCCTCAGAGCTTATTCCTAGCTTCTTATATTCTGGATCTGGTTGATACCAGAAATTACTTCTAAGCTTTACTACATGGTAGGGCTGAAGTGACATGCTTCCCTCCCTATTCAAAGCTGATTCAGGTCTTGACGAAGGACTCCTGGACACTCAACAGTCAATTCAGCTGAAAGATACTAGGAACTCCCAAAAGCAGGGGAATGAAACAGTTGACCCAGAACCACTGCTTCTCTGTGGCAAGTTGTGCACTGCACAACTTCAAAGGATGCCTTTCAAATCCCACTCTTCATATATTAATAGAGTTGTTATGACAATTTTTCTGGCATCAATGGAAGTAAAGCATCAAGGAAGAAAGGATTTTTTTTCTTTTTCTTTTTTTTTTTTTGGTACAAGAAGTTTATTAGGGAGTGCTTTCAGGATCAACAACAGTGTTGTTGGGGAAAAAAACAGATTGGAAAGAAAGATAAAGAGAGCCACAGGAAGGCCCAACAAGGCCTCAGTCTTGGGAGAACACTGAAACTAGTTGCAATATGCTCACATTGACCAGTCACCAAATTCAAGCCACCCCAGAATTATGATCTGACCTTGGAAGAGGAAGCTGTCTCCAGTCTAGGGCAACTTGCAAGTGAAGACTGAGAGCTGAGTGTAGCCCCACCATCTGGAGAAAGACCCTTTCAAAGGAGAATCTGAGCAGCTTAGCCTAGCTTAGGCTACTACAAGAGTTTAGCTCTAAATCAAAAATCAAATTTGGGAAAATTATTTTCCTGTCTTTTTTTTGTTGTTGTTATGGTAAAACATACTATGTCCATAACATAAAACTTGCCATTTTAATATGTATAGTTCTTGGCATTAAGCGTATGTACATCGTTGTGCAACTATCATCACCATTCATTTCCAGAACTTTCTTCCCTAAATG